AGGTGGAAGAGAAAGACGAGGGGAGGAGGAGAAGAAGAGGGAGAAGTGGAAGAGAAAAAAGAAGATGAGGGGAGGAGGTGGTGGTGGCAACAGAGGAGAATTAGAGAAGATCCGGATGGATCGATGGGCTGACAATGTGGGCAGTGCAAGCAATGGGTGAGAGAAGTGGCAGCTGTCATGAGAGAGGTGAGCACTAGAGACAGAAATCATAAAAGAGAGGAAACCATTGGAGGATCATGTGATCCTAATAAAAAATAAAAAAGAATCAAGCAATAAGCTCAATTCAATAGGCTTACCAGGCAGTAAGCTACATATTCACCTGAAAAGAGGCTGTCCATATCCCAATTCACACCCGAACCGGTGAATTCCAGCCGATATGCACCAGTCCAAATGAAATGGCGAGCCTGGCTTTACCATTACTACTACCATAACATGACGACGTAAATTAAGACTGCACATTTGCAAAGTCCTTCAAGGATCCAAATTTCTTGTAAATATTCAAAGGATGGCAAAAGAAAATTAACATATATCTTGTTTGGAAATTAGCATATATATTGTCCGTTGACTGTACTCAGAAAGATTAATGCTTGTATCAACAATAGAGATCATCAAGATAACAAATATCTTATTTGGGGAATATGAAGCAAGATTTACCTCTGACACCTGACTCTTCAGTTGCCTTGGTTTACCATCTTCTATAGTTTGCACATGACATAGCAATGAGTCTAGATTGGACTTCTCATCTAATGTTGTCAATATAGTTTGCAAGTTTCTTCTGAAGTTCTCAATCCCTCTCTTTAGACTCTGATACTTCAGAATGTACTCGTCCACTGAAAATCCATCAAAATCCATGCTAGTGTCCTGCTGATACCACCTGCGTTTTATAAATTCTAACAGATCACCAAGATAGCAGCTATTCTTATCTAGCAGCGACAAACCCTGAGTCTGCAAGTGGTCTACTCGGGCATGGAGTTGTCGGTCAAGTTTGATAAATGAGTGGCCATAACCATTATGAGTACCTTGAAGACGGTCCAAGAGGGAGATGTTCTCATGCCTAAGAGATTCCATTTCAAGCCTGCAGGACTCAACCTCCTTTCGCAGCATCTGTTCGACACCTGTTAATCGTAACTGTTCCATTTGTAACCTACTGATGTTATCACCTTCCTCTATTACTTTCTTACATAAATCATCACTGTATCCTCGTCGCAATCCACTAATTGATTTCTCTTGTTCACTGCATACTCTTTGCAGCTTTACAACTACTTCTTGCAGTTCCTTATTCTCCTTCTCCTTTTCCTTGTAGCATCTCCTGAGACAATCTCGATCCTCTTCTGATCCACTATATCTGTCTTGCAACTCGGATAAGGACTGGTGAAGATCATGGTTCTTTGTTCTCACGTCTTCCAAACAAGCTGTCAGCTCATTCATTTGCCTGTCTGAGTTCAGCATCCTGCCCTGAGCTTCTACCTCATTAACCTTGAGTGAGGAAATCTCTCTTTGAAGTGCCACGTTCTGCTCAGCAAGTTCTCTTACACGTTCACGTAGCCTCTGCTCTTCAGATAGAAACTTAGCAAGCTTCAATGACCAGTCATTTGACCTTCTGTCCAACTCTCTCTCTAAACTCGATTGTATCTCGTTCTTCTCCTTCTCAAGACGCCTTGTTCTAGTATCCAATTCTGCCTTAGACTGTTTAAATCTCTCTTTTGCTGAAAATCTCTCTGAAAGCCTGGATCTAATTTGTGATGAGAGCTCAAGTGCCAAAATTTTCCTGTCTTCGTTGATGTTCTGAATAATTTTGAGCATTGCTGTTAAGTTTGAACTTTTACTCCTGTACTTCATCATTTCAGGGTTTTCTTCAGAAAGGAGCTTGAGCTTCTCCTCCAACTCTTTTACCTTCCTTTGTAACTCCTCATTTGTTTCTTCTTCCTGCAGCCTGGTGTTAAATATATTATCAACATTAGCATCCATTATTGCATTTCTAAGTGAGCATTTATGTCTTTGAAAACCAGTTAGTTCCTCTGTGCAACAATCCTTTACATCTTCACAGGAAGAAGTAATCTCAGATTCATGCATTTCAGAAAAGCCATTTGAGGTCAAGGACGGTTGTGCATCAGAGAAATCATCATTAACATCATCTATGGTCGTAGTTGTTCTAGAGTCATAATCTTGTGGTTTTAAAAATTTTCCAGCAAATGCATGGAATAGTTTCTCAGCATTTCTTCTTGTCTTTCTGGAAGGGGATGCTAGCTTAATATCATCTTTTGCCCAATCTTGAGTAGAACAACGTTGGAGATGATTTGTCTCCCTAAATGAGTAGCTCCTGAAGTTTTCTTTATCGTAGGTAGGTGACATTGGTTTCATGTACTGAACTCTGGGTGGCCTTACCGGACATGGGAGCACATTTTTGTCTGCTAAACAGCCATCGACTTCAGTGCCGGATGAGTGGCTAGTATGATCTTGATTGAATTTAACTCGAGGCTCTCCATCAATGTAGAAATCATGAAATTCAGTTTTGTTTGAAGTACTCATATGACTTGCTCTGCATCTTAATGGAACAGGGGAACCGCATGATGAATTTCCTGATGAACAATTTTCTCTTGAGCCTGAAGAATCAAACTCTACATCACGTGTATATTGGATGGCAGCCAGATCTCCTCTCTTTTTTCTCGAAGCTCTTTCTGGTGTTGACGATTGACAGCTGGTAGCAAGCAAGAATATGATATTAGACGGCAGCTTAAGTGTCACTGAAGATGAATTGAAAATGGCAGCCACATCAGCTAAAAACTGTTGGGACCGCAGAACTTAATTAAGTTGCCAATATCAGAACTTCAAACAATCAGTAATTGATATATACAATCTAGCAGAATAAGATTAAAATACTAGATGCCTTGTTTGCCAAGAAAAGAAAAAGGAAACTCTCCACAATGTCCATGATTATTTACTGAAACTTGACAGTTATTGCCATGAATATAGTCATACTCAAGAATATATGAATATAGCTGAGCATCAATCAAGTGAGAAATATGTTGTGATACTAACGGATACAACGTATGAATCATACTCATGAATACAGTCAGTAAAGAAAGTGCAAAATGTTGGAGCTGATTAGCATGTTGTACCAAAGAAATGTAAAACAGTCGGTCAAGATAACATCAGTTTAAAAATAAAAAAAATTAAAATCATCTTTTATCCACAAGTCAATGTGTTCATCCAGGAGTAAGACATAAAGTAGAATATGTAGCATGCGGTTCAACATTAGGATATTAGAAGCACATTTACCATGGAACTGGTGATAAGGCGAATGGGCATCAAGCAGCTTATGCATGTTCTTAATTTAGAAAATCTATTCAAGCCAACCAAATTATAATCTCAATTAACACCAAATGTCAGTCATATTATTTAAGAATCAAAATGAATGGAATCAAAATAAACGTACAAAAGCGGAAGAGCAATGAACTCAAGAAAAAAGGTTTAGTATAGAGCATAAAATGCTAATGTTTAAAGTCGTCTTAAGCCACCAACTTATAGAAAATTGAGAACCTTTAGGATAAGTGGCATGACAAGAATTGGTCGCATGACTAAGAACTTACTGAATAGGACAGTTGTCAACATGATTTAGTGTGTTGCGACAGTTGGATGGTGATCTGCTGAAGTCACTCAAGAATTTTTCTTCCATACCATAGTTGGTGGTGGCAGAGGAAAATGAGAGGCTCCGTCGATGATTAAGTGACTTCAGTGAATCCTCATCATCCAGGTACCGGTTGCACGGTTTAAGAACAGTTTCCCTGGGAGATTGAGAGGCATTAGGAACACCATCGCAAGCTGGAACTTTCACATTCTTCTTTTGGTTGTTTGGTGCAGGAGCAGCTGTGTTGCTATTTCCACTATTAGATGTAGACGATCTTAGTGAAAAGAACCTTCTCATCTTGAAGCACTATATGACTTCTCATAACATGAAAACTTCAAGTATATATAGACAAATGCTCCAAGTTAGTGAACCTCAAAATTCCTGGCTGAAAGAAGAAAAAAAAATTTAATCTTCAAGCATTAAAATAAGCTCCAAGTCTAGACCCCACAGTCAAATTTCAAATGAAGAATCTTACATGCCACAAGCATGGCTACTACTTAATTTGGTCTCGGCAAAGAAGAAAGGCGAAGAGAATTGATCGAAGAATCCCATTGAAGAATAAAAAGCCTAGCTTAGGAGAATTACCAAGAAGATTGGTATTTTCCAAATTGCGTGCGGGAGTGTCCTACCTAGAAGAAAAAAGGGCCGAAAAGGGATATATACAGATCATAAGGGGCATAAGAAACCTTCCACAAAACTATAATTTACAGTAGAACTTTTATCTATTTTGACAGAAAGGAAAAGGGATCATAGTGATGGGAGAAAAGTCCGATATAATAGATCGGATTTTTTTTTTTTTAGAATTTGCAAATAAGATCTGAGCTTACGAGCAGAAAAATCCAATTAATCCAAAAATTACCAAAATTAAACCCCTCTCAGTCCTCCAACATGCGAGTCCGTTCAGCACCATATTATAAGCCATCAGAAACCACATTTTCTCAGGCAGAGCTCAATCGAGAACCAAAAAGCACACACAATTGGGGACTCAAAAGAAGCACCGAGACGAATAAGATAGGGAAAAGAGCACAATCATCATCCGAGGCAAAGCGATAAACTCATGAAGTAAACGCACTCAAAAGAAAACCCCGGCCCCCAAAACACCAAGAACCGCGTCTAAGCACCTCAAGAGCCGCTACCTCCTCCTCGGTCGAATCGGTCAGACGATGCTTCGAATCACGAAGAAGACAGGGAGTGGAGAGAGGGGATGAGCAATGAAGCCACATACAATTGGCCCAAACGAGAGCGAATCGAAGAGGATACGGAGCGAGAGGAATGTTACCGTTGTGAGGGGGGCGCTTCGATCCTCGTTCTTGAGGAGCTGCGGAGTTTAGGGGGAATTTGAAATGAAGAATAAATCTTTGATTCCCTGCCTTTTTGTTTTACCCTAATTGAAGGAGCCCTTTTTTATGAAGTTTCTGCCCCTAAACTTTAACATAATTACTCTTGTACCCCATCTCCGTTCGTCAACTGATCATATTTTGCTACTAAATAGAGAGACCCAAAATAGGAATTATGCAATATTATATGTTATGGTGAGCTACTAATACGAATCCCATCCACGTGAGGTAAAGGGGATAACGGTGTGTTAATGTAAGCTAAATTCGAAGATTTAAATGAACTGAGAGTCCCACAACCCACAACTCTGCTTCTCTCACAAGCCTAAGCTTAATTGGTGGACCCCACGTGTGAATTGGCACATCACATCTGTAGAGTTTTTCTAGATGTAAAGATATTTTAAAATGTCAATTATTATAGATGTATTTATGAGTAAGGAAATATTATTTTTTTTATTATTAGGACCTTTTAACACTAATAAGTAGATTATTATGTGAGGGTATTCAAACTTGTTTGAATGGAATCATGAATTATTTTTTTTTAATTTGATTTGTTTAAAATAAGATAGTCTGAATTAAAATTGTCAATCAAAACTCAATATATAAGTCAAATCAATTTAGAAACGATAATGTGTCAAATAAGTATGTCACATCATAATAAAATCTAAGAAGAATATTCTCTCAATCAATCAAGTTGTATTAATTTTTTTTTATCAAGTTGATAATCAAAATTGATAGTAAAAGATTGATGAAATAAGGAGGGTTCGAAGAAAATATCATAAGAAAATCAAAACTAAAAGATTCTTCAAAAAAAAAAATTCAAGGAGAAGGCTCCTCTCATAATTTGCATCGATGATCCTTATATAATTTTGATTTTTGTTCATGTAATAATCTTAAAATCCTCAAGTTATGCTAATGAGAAGTAATAACACAAGTAATAACACAAAAACAATAGGTGATTCACATGAAGCGAACGTGGATCCAATACTATATCAAAGTTTATTACTTCTCATCCAATATATGTGAATTGAGTGAAATTTGGATAAGTCTTAATTGATTCCAATGCTTCAAAATCTCAGCCTATTACATTCAATTAGGCTCGTGAATATACCAATGCTTCAAACCTCAGACATATAAAAAATTATCATAGATCTTTGGTTACATAGGCAAGCACCAAGACACCCTAGGTAAGCCTATCCCCAATCTAGTTCAAGGTAAGCTCATACCTAAACAAGATAAATCATGATCCCTTAGAGGAGCCCTTTCACCATCATACCCATTGTTATAATCATGAGGTTGTTGACTGATGAGTCAGCATGACTTAGTCATGTTCCGAAGGCGCAAACTCATTTTGGAAGCCCACATGATGCTCTCAGATGTTGGTTGTGGCGGGGGGAACCAGTTAGCATGATCTTGAGGTGCTACTTATTTGCTCGAGGTAGATTCTGTGCTGGGCTAAGGTGGTTGGACTTCCTCAGGATTCTAGAGTCGAACCAAAGAGCATCTTGGCTTCACGAAGGTTCCTATACAAGAGGTCAACGTTGGGAGAGTTTTCGACTCGACCCATCTGATGGTAAAGCCGGTAGTGGGAATCAAAGTAGTAGGAATTATTTTTCTCTCTCTTTGGGGGCTAGTTTTTATACCTAGATGGTCAATGGCAAGAGGCTGATGGCTCCTCCCTTAATCCGTGATCATTGAGAGGCTCATTTATATCGACGATCGGTTGGTTCCTTCCCTTGTTAGCGAAGGACAATTATAGGGTTATTGTTTATCTGGGCTAATATCTATATGGGAAAAGATGATGGTGGTCGCCCGCACCGGGTGATTGAAAAGGGGGAGATGTATTTCACCGTTAGGGATTAATGATGTCGGAAAAGGGAGAAATGGGTTCCATCCTCAGGGATTGATGCTCCCTGTGTCCGAGCATGTAACCTTTCTCGAAATCATGATTGACAGAGGGAAAGGTCGCTTCCCAACCGCTCGGCCACAGGGCAAGGGAGGTGCATGGGCTCTTCTGCCATGATTACTATTGAGATAGGAGTAGGGCCCTAGGTGAGTCAGCAAGCCAAAGCTGACATCACTTTATTCACTATCACCCACTATACTTTTGTCTTGATATCAGTAACACAAATATATAAGAGATATTTCTAGTTAGGAATTAAATATTTGACCCTTTTTTTATCAAACAAAAAAAATCTATGATCCATTTCTAGTGAAAAATATTTTATTCTCTTTTTGGAATGATAAACTTTAAGGTTACTTTTATATTATAAAGAAAATATCTAATTCACTTTTGTTAGGCAAAATACATATAACCATCTCGTATCAAGCAACAAATATCTAACTTATTTTTGTCAAATAAAAGGACACTCAATTCACTCTTTTTAGGTAAAAAAAATCTAACCCACTTTTGTCGAGTAAAAGAGTATTTCACCTAATTTTGTTGGGTCAAAAAAATATCTAACTCACTTTCATTAGGTAAAATATATTCGATCTAACCTAAGTATGATAATAAATATTCGACTTACTCTTGTAGAAGAAATATTTGACTCAGTCCTATCCAACACACTCTCATTAAACAATAAATTTTAAATCTATTTAGCCTGATGCATCTTAACCGAGTAAAGTATCTCTTTATGCACGATGTATCCATTTAAGACTACCACCAAAACTACTTAACATGCGCTAGCTATACAAAATATCTTTTTGTGTATGATGCATTCATAGAGGACATAAACATCAACGATTCAATGTATCTTCTTATGCTTGCTACATCTATTCAAGATACAAGTATTAAAGCATCTCATATATCCTAATTGAGCTAAGAATCTTTACATGAATAATATATTTGTCTAGTTAATAAGCATAAAATGCCCAATGCATTGGTATGAACAACATTGGATTGTGAGCCCCTAAGTTCCTTATTTACAAGAGCATCTGGGTTGATCTTGAATCAACATGCCTTGTTCATGTAATAATCATGAAATCCTTGGGGTTATATTAGTGAGAAGCAGGCATAATCACACAAGTAGCAACATAAAAGCAGTAGGTCATTCACATGAGGCTAATGACTTATTACTTCTCATCCAATGTGTATGAATTTGTTGGAATTTAGATCCAAGAGTAATTCCAATGGTTCAAAATCACCTTTGATTGTGCCTGTTACATTCAATTAGATTTGTGAATATACAAATGCATCAAACTATGGTACTATCATGATATATAGGACACTATCATAGATCTTTTGTTAGGTAGACAAACACCAAGATACCATAGGCAGGCCCATCCCCAACCTAATTCAAGGTAGGCTCATGCCCAAACAAATTAGGTTGGGCCCATACATCATTCATCCTCCTAAAAAAAAACAAAGAAGCCCATACATCATTCATCCTCATAAAAAAAAGAAAAGAATAAAAAGAGCACATACATCATTCATCCTCATAAAAAAAAAAAAACCCATACATCATTCATCCTCATTAAAAAAAAAAAAAGAGGGGGGGTGGGAGAGTGGGGGAACCTTGCACCCTTCAAAACATAAACTATAATCTCTTAGAGGAGCCCTTTCACCATTATATCCATTATACTTTTATTATGATATCAATAACACACACATATATATAAGAGATATTTCTAGTTGGGCAAAAAATATTTGACCCACATTTTTATCAAACAAAAAGATATCAATGAAAAAGTTTGATTCTCTTTACGACAATAAATATTAAGCTCACTTTTATATTATAAAGAAAATATCTAGCCCACTCTTGTCAAGGAAATTTTTTTTTACCTTCTCATATCAGACAATAAATATCTAACTAATTTGTTCATCAAATAAAAAGATACTCGATTCATTCTTTCTAGCAAAAAGAAAACAAATCTAACATGCTTTCGTCAAGTAATAGAGTATTTAACCTAATTTTGTTGGGCCAAAAAATGTCTAACTCATTTTTATTGGGTAAAAAATATCTGATCCACTTATGTATGATAATAAATATAAAAGAAATATCTAACTCACTCTTATCCAATATACTCTTATTAGACAATAAATTAATATCCACTTAGCCTAACAGAGGCCTACACACCTTACGCACCCTAACTTAGTAAAGTATCTTCTTATTTGCGATGCATCCATTCAAGATTAGCACCAAAATAACCTAACATGTCCTAGCTATGCAAAATATTTTCTTATGTATGATTCATTCATATATCCAATAATATATTTGTCTAGTTAATAAGCATCAAAATGCCTAATGCACTTTAATCGAACAAGACATCCCCACACGCATGATGCATCCAATTAAAATATAAGCACTAAGGCTCTTAATGTCTCATAATCAGATAAAACATCTCCTAATATATAATGTGTTTGCATAGACATAAGTATCAAAATAATCTATATGTCTTAACTAAGCAAAATATCTTTTTTGTATGATACATCTACTATGAAAATAAATATTCAAATACTCAATACACAAAGTATCTCCATGTATATGTCTTTGAAGGGCATAATTAGTATTCAAAATAAACAATGTGTCCTAAATGAGTAGTGCATCTCTCTCATGCAATGTCCATAGTAAACAAAATTATCTAGAGAATTTGATATATCCGGGCAAAGCATCTTTCTTATGTGATGAATATATCCTAGATATAAGTATCAAAGTGTCAAATATATCCTAACTCAGTAAAATATCTCCTGACACTTGACATCTCTATCTCGATAAATACATTCAAAGCATCGATGCACCTTAACCAAGTAAACCACCTCTATATTTGATGTGTTCATTTTGATCACAGACATCTAAGCATTATATAATATTTTTTATATAGATAATATCTATCAAATTCTAGAGATGGATATCATGCTTTAATATAGACTAACTATTATGGTTTGACATAGACTCATCGTTATCCCAAAGCTTTATAGGGAGAAAATAATATGATAATTATTTATTTTATAATCAATTAGAATT